GAGCCTCTGTTATGACATACACAATTCTATCCAGGTATACAACTAATAGAGGACAGAAAAAAGGCACATGAGTGGGTTTGTTGATTATTTGGGTATATTTGAGAGTATTTACTTATGAACTTGTTTCTTTTCCGCTGCGTCTAAATAGAAACGGGTAAGTCTGACAGCTACCATATTTGAGAATGAATTGTCTGTTTTTTAATATATATTCATGGAAAAACATCTCGTTGCTGGACATCACGACTAATATTTGAAAATGGCCTAAAATGTAGAAAATTATTATATTTTTTTTTTAAATTGCATTAACTTGAGAACGGCTGGACTTAGGAAAAAAGTTTCTATATGCAATGTTTTTGAAAATTATGCGTAAAATCCAAATAAATTACTATTTTACTAAAAAATATGCAATTTCACCAACTTGTAAAAACCAACAAAAATTTCAAAAATTATAATTTTTTTTTTAAGAAAGTTACCAGCATACACTTTTTACGAAATTCAAGGGTATTCCATCAATTTTCTTGAAAAAAAAAATTATAAAGATCGAAGGGGGGGTGTTTTGAGATAATCATCGTTTTACGTTTTTTAAATACTAATTTACTAAGTTTTTCTTTCAATGTATTTTTTTCCGCAAAGATAATTTAACTACCTAAAACTTCTTTTCATATGCCATTTTGATCAGATCAATAGTTTTCAAGTTATGATTTTTTGAAAAAAAAATTATCCATTTTTTTATACGCCCTTTTCAAAAGTTACTCTGGAGGAAAAAATCATATTTAAATGAAAAATGCAACCATTAGTAGCAGCGAACACGTGAGAAATGTTTCATTCAAATCGGAAACACTCATGACCAACCGGTTTGCGTTTTGGGCTGGAAATGCTCTATATTATTTTCTAATCATATAAGCCAGAGTGAGAGAGAAGGCCTAGCGGATCGTATTGGCTCATTACGCAGCGCAAGATGCTCCGCTTCGTAGGACTGACTGCTTCCACCTTAACATCGCTGGAAAAGACGAACACGTCCTCTTCGGCTTTCCACTGCATCCCCAGCACTCGCTCTATTTGGCTGTCGGTCGCTCCGACAATCTTCGCTGGAGATAGATTAACTTCCCCGACCCGTCTGAGGACCGCGGATGAGTTGGACAACCAGTTTCGGATGATGAAACCGCCTTGCTTATGTACCAGTTTGACCTCTTCTACAACTTGACACGCCTCTTCTTCACTGTCAAAGCTCTGCAGATAGTCATCGACGTAGTGGCGACGCTGGATTGCCTCTGCTGCTCTCGGATACCGCTCTGCGTGCTCAGCTGCATTCAAGTTTTTTACGAACTGCGCCGAGCATGGTGAGCTCGTTGATTCAAAGGTTGCTACGTCGATTACAAAGGTCTTGATCGGTTGTCCCAGCTCTCCAAGCCAAAGAAACAGCTGGCTATAACGATCTTCCCGACGCATCTTAAGCTGGTGGAACGTTTCCTTTATGTCGCCCACAACTGCAACGCTTCGTTCCCGAAAGCCGGATAGAACGTCCGGTAGGGGTTCCACTAGATCCGGTCCTTTCATCAGCTTGCTGTTTAAGGAGACTCCGTCCACTACAGCCGCTGCATCCCATACAATGCGAATCTTGTTTGGTTTCTTCGGGTTTTGTACAATGCCTACCGGAAGGTACCACATCCGGCGTGGATCAGCTGATCTTAGTTTAATCTCTGTCGCTTCGTGAATGTATCCCTTCTCCTGGTATTCCACTCTCTGTTGCTGTATGTTCTTGAACACTTCCGGACTTGCCTTCAATCGCCGCTCCAAGTACTGCAGCCGTCGGACCGCCATGGCGTAGCTTTCAGGAAACTCTACGTAATCGTTTTCGATCCGTTTTGTTGTCCTTTCGAGTAGCGCTCTAGCCCGCTTGTCATCTTCGGATTCGGGGCACCGGTCTACTGAAACTCCCGTATTTTCGACCGTGAAGTATTGCTTCACTAGCTCGTGCAGCTCGCTCTCTGTGTCGCAGCCACAAATGTGAAGGTTGTAGCTGGGATATATCGTTCCTTTCGGTATCGCCCCGTAGATTGCCCATCCGAGGCGAGTTTTGGCAGCAATTGGTTCATCCAGTTGACCCTCTCTTATTTGTAGGGTAGCGGTGAGGTGAGTGTTCTTCGCGCCGATCAGGATTCCTGGCGCTTCGCATTCGAAATCCTTTATTGGCATCTTCCTCAGATGTTCATAGCGTTCAGCCAGTTCCTTATACCGTAGCGTTTGCTTTGGCAGCGCCAGCGATTCAACAGTCCTTACATCTTCGAGTATCTATCGCTTCTTACCTCCAGTTCCCGCAATCTCGATGTGATGTTTCCCGTCCAGGTCAGGCACAGACGTTTCTTAACTCCTGCAACCTCAAGCAAGTCAGCGAGACTCTTCTTCATTAGCGTAACGGACGAGCCCTCGTCGATGAAGGCCAGCGTGTCGATAGTCTGGTCTTTGTTGAAGAGCTTAACCGGTAGAATGCGAAATAGAGTGGAGCTCGGAGTACTATGAGCATTTACATCTTCATTCTGGTTTCCCGTTTGCGGTGCGCTTGTTCGTTGTTGTGGTATTGGCCGTGTTGTAGACATAGGATACACAGGACTTCCATGCAGAAGCGGGTGATGACGCATTTGACACCCTTGCACATCACAGCGAGCTTGAGACCGACAGCGTTTCCTTCCGTGTTTTCCGAGACATGTCCGACATAGGTAATAGGTGTGCACAGATTTCCAGCGATCGTCACGATTCATATTCTTGAAGGCTTCACACCCTCACCCTATGATCCGGATTGCCGCAGATAAAACAGGCAGCAGGCACAACAGCATTCGATGATTCCGGACTTGGTTTCAATGCATCCGTCGCGCTTGATGAAGCAAGATGAGCGTTGACCAAACTTTTCGCCTTCTCCTCCTTCTTAGGTTTCGTCCCCTTACAATCCAGAGTTAGGGACACCTCCGCCGCTGCTGAGACCAGATTCGACATGTATCTGCCAAATACGCGCAAATCAGCCACCAGGAACTGACGTTTGAACGTCACCCATTCGAGTTTTAGATTTGCCGGTAACTTGTCCACTAGCTCCTGCAGTAGCACTGGGTTGGACAGATGCAACACTTGGCCCGCAGCTTCCAGATGATCGCAGAAATTTTGCACTGCCACCCCAAAGGCGATAAGCGTATGCAGGTTTTCTGCCTTGGGTGCAGGAACTTCATGGATCTTCGCAAGCAATGCATAGATTATCTGCTCCGGGTGCCCGTATAGAAGCTGCAACGTCTGCATCACCTGTGGCACCGATGCAGGCAATAAGAGTCGGCTGCGCACTGATTCTAGGGCGACGCCCTTCAGGCACCGTTGAAGACGACCAAGATTCTCCACATCACTATACCCACACGCTTCTGTGGATGTGTTGAAGGCACTAAAAAACATTGGCCACTCCTCCGGATTACCGCTGAACACCGGCAGCTCCCTAGGCATAACATGTCTCGCCGCTAGTTGACGAGATGTGGGTGCGTTTGCTTCACAGTTCATTGCCGGCACTTGCTGATTCAGGACAGGCACTTGCTGATTCGGGAGAGGCACTTGCTGATTCGAAAGGACCCTTGAGAGATGTTAGGATTCGCCATTGGTACCGAGAGACTACCGGGGAACACGAGTATTGTTGGGGAAGACTTGTAGGAAATGGTAGGGGTAACCATGATGGATTTACATTTATTGGGTTCCCTGTTAGATTGACGGCTGGGCATACGCTACTAATTGTGTATTGTGGGCAGGGAGCTTGACCTAATGATACTATATTTCCTACGCTACTCGTTGCCTGATACGGTTGGCTTACGCTTCCCCCTTGAGACGGGTAACCTCCGAGCTGTCCCGCTGAGCTAATTGTTGGCGGCAGACACTGCGTAGTATTGGTGTAGTCTGATACCGAATTGATCCAAGTTGTTTTCGTTGTTGGCGTCGATGAATTCAGGGGTACTGCTCCTCCTCCGGGCTGGAAGTCGTGCATGTAGCCCGAAGTTTGACCCGCTGCGTACGATGATGGGTGGCCATAGTTCACCTGCGTCGAATGAACAGCACCAGACACTAGCGGTGGATTGACAGTGTACGGTCCATAACCAGGAACGAAAGTAGTAGGTTGCCATGACGGAAAAGCTGTTGTCGGCGGTACAATTTGGTTACTCCCGGCAGCAGGGAACTGTGGGACCGTTTCGGAGTTGGTCGTAGGAACTGTCGTTGTGCTAGATGCTGCAATTATTTGCTGACTCGTGCACACCGTGACCTGATTCAACCGTCTCATCCACTCTGCCATTCGGTCGACGGTTTCCACTTCACCACCGGTAGTGTTGACACCGTCACAAGTCTCGTTTAAGCCTCCTTCTCCAATAGTAGCTTCTTCTTTTCCAGCTGATTTGAATGCTCCAGTTCCATTTCCTTCTGTAGATAAGCCTTTTGCTCCTCCAGCAGTTTCAGATTCAGACGTACAAGTTCGCTGATCGGGTGACTTTCATCTGCTACATTTCCGTTAGGATTCTTCTCCGATGTCTTTCCGTCGCCCGGGTGGGAGGCACGGATGCACAGCGGCACCTCGAGTTTTCCTCCTTACATTCCTCATCGTATCCGGCACAGCTGTAATGAAACCACTTGGTGCAACCTTCGCAAAGAACCATGTCGTCGCTGTTGTTAGCCTGGTTACATAGCTCACAGTCGAATCTGCTGGTTTCCGGCATCCTGTGGCACTAATTCCAACACGATAAATCGCAAATCTTTGAGATTTGTGTTGAGACAATTTCGGATTCCCTTTGCAAGGTTAGGTTCGTATAGCGAGCTCAAAGCTGTAAGTTTATTCACGTAAAGTTAATTAATCGAGTGACAATAAAGAATTCAATGTACCTACATTTGGTCTCCTAGTCCTTTAATTCAAGAAAACACAGTCAGGATGACGGTATAAATTCAGCAATATACTATTTCGTACCTTATAAGCTACAAATTCTAATCTCTGCCTTTTTTGTGATTAACAAAGGATGGTTTTGGATAAATAACTATAGGAAATGGTAATGACAGCTACCCATCAATGGTTGTCAAAAGGCTCGCCAAGAAGTAATATAATTACGATGCGCAGGGTTGGGTGAAGCCGGACGACAGTGGCGTAGTTCGCCCCCAACAGTACGTGAAAATATCGAAAAAATTAAGTCCACCCTCGTAAAACGTCGATTTGACTAATTATTTAACATTTAAAAAACAAAAATTTTCTTCAGATCGAGCTTGGCCGAGACTTTGTTTTTTTTATTATTTTCGCCTTTAAATGTTTTCTCATTGCTAAATTTACCATAATATAGTTATATCTAAGGAAATATTGATTGAAAATCGAAGATAGTAAAAAACAAGCAAACTAATTTTAACATGGCGGTGGCATAAAAGTTGATTTTCATTGGACATTTGTGAAAAAGTTGTTTTGCTGTCAAGAATTCCTTAACAAATTAATAAGGGTTTAAAATGGCTTTTTTATGAAGAAAACTTGCAGGCTGAATTGTATTTATCTAAAGCCATTTTGCTTGATCCTAACCCGGTCAGATTTATGGCAGCATTTATGGAGGCAAAGCTGCCTGCAAAAAGTTAAACGTCAAAGTTTGTTTATCTTTCGATAGTTGCGCTGTGAGATCCAGGATTCTTCCAGGCGGTTTTCTCCCGATGGATTGGGAGCAGTTACTCAGATAGGTTGCGATACTGTTTTACAACATTTCGCATTTCGAACAGCTGGAAGCGCAATCGTTCCCGAAAAAGATCGCTTTCTTCCAGATGGGCCCAACGATGCAGGGATATACGCTTGAATGAAATTTTCGAAGAGTTGATTCTTTCGCCGAATAAAATTGCTGCTATGGATCGGAAACCAGCTAATCTCCGCTAACTAACAGTTCCAGTGATTTCCTGTCGGTTGTCATCTTTTCGCAAGATCTGGAGAACGCTGGTATGTTTTTTAAACTTTCGACAATGTTGTATGAATTCGAGGGCCCCGCTCAATTTGCTCTTCTCCGCCATATGGACAGTCGTTGATGGTATGCTGGTTCTTCTAGAGAAGTAAATTTAGCTGAAATCGACTTGAATTTTTCATCCTACTTCGTCTATCCTTCGAGATTTCCTTGTCATAAATTTGGCATTTATTAACTATGAGGAACCATCTTTTAAGCATTTGTATACAGAGTAATTGGGGAGTTAATGATGCACTTTATAAAGCCTGAACAACAACAATAAATGCTTTTTGCTCTATTGCAAAACCTAATGGTTTTATGGTTGCTTTTATAATGATAGAACACGTTTATAAAGTATTTTATCAAGCCATTAATAAACAATTGCTAATGACGTTTATGCTTGAATTACAGAACAGTTTTAAGGAGGGATTGATAACTGTTTTAAATTTATTTTTAAAACAAGACAGTTTTTGACTTTCTTGCCAGACTATAAAAGGGTTTTAAAACAGCAAAAAGCTGAATTACTAAGCAGGAATGTTTTACACTTTGAAATGCTGCATTTAAACTAAATGGATTGTGCATTGCTATTATAAAACCATTATACATCAGAGTGGATGCTAACTGGTTACTGAATTGTTACTTGGGAGGCTATCCGGTAGCAACGGAACAGGATCTGTTGGCAGATTTCAATTTTTTTATCGGCTCATTGCATATTTTTAGGGAACATTTCTTCTTTTTAGGGAAAATTTATAAAAAATAGATTGAATGTTCCTTAAAATATATTAAATGAGCCAATAAAAAAGTATGGAAATTCTTTATTAACGTTTAGTTTTTTTTCGTTTTTTATAGTTTATATCTTATAATACATCAGCTTATTGCGTGACATCAACTTAGAGTTCTAGATGCATTTTCCATCAATGCCCAGGGAAGTCGAGAAATTTTTCAATTCGAAAAACTCCTAAACCGGACCTGGAATCCAATCCAGCCACCTCCAGCATGGTCTTGTTTTGTAGCTGCTCCTTTACCGACTGAGCTAAGGGAGGTCTAAGAGTCTAAAATTAACCAACATTAATTAGATTCAACATATAAAAGTCCTCTGGCGACGAAATTACAGAATCTGTTAATCCAGTAGCTTGTCACAGATTCTTTTACTGCACAACTGTAAAATAGTCTCACATTCTCCAGTGCACCCGTACTGAACTGCTGTAGCACCATTCCATTGCCAGTGGCATTTTTCTTTCACCATCTTAACCGCCTTTCTCATTGTTTACTCCCTTTCAAATCCATCAATGAATAACCCGTTAATTAATGCTTCCATTATCTGGCTCTGAAAAACCTCCACTTGCCACCGCATAACGAAACCGCATCGAATGGATGGATCCCCCTCAATGGGGACCCTTCTCATTACGGTCACTTTCCACTTTTGCACTTGACAATGTCCATTTTCCAGCATACCTACCAAAGTACTTCTCATTGCGCGCTCTTTGTTGGTACAAGTCACGACCACCGCACAGCACAAGGTCCATTAAGAGGCCCCATTTCGACCGTAATTAGCAGTTCTAAATTGGAATTTCAACCACGAATTTCGCTCCCAATCAATTTCTCGATTCAATCTGCACCGACCAAAAGAGGGGCCGAAAAATTGGACGAACAGTAACCAGATGATCGAAGCTCATTTGTCCCATTGGTTACACCATAGCTTTAAATAGCAAGCATTGATCTGGTTAACGGACATTTTTACCGCTCAATTATTGTGGTCGCCACAAAATGATATACTTTTACTCGGGTTGCCAAGGCTGCTGCGAGTGATCACCTGCAGTTACATTTCCCTTCGATCGATCACACCGCCGTTTCGGGGACAGTTGTAGTACCTCCATTGGGTCGGGTGAGTCGTGACGGCATTTGCTACCACTAATGAACGCTATATTGATTTTGTGGCTGCATTCACCTGCGGAACGGGAGAAAAAGATGGGAATTTCACCGATAATTGAATGTATTTTTTGTTTTCGTTTCGAGAGTAGCTCCCCTACGGTACATTTGAATGGGTGCTTATAATCACCGCCAAAATATAATTATATAGTTGGGCATAAGTAGCTGAACAGTTCTGCGTCATTTTCCTCACATTTGCATCAGTCAGTTCTTCTTTCCGGGAAAAATCCAGTTTTTAGGGCAATTGAAGGGAAAACCTTCGACGCATGACGTCAATTCGACTATGATCGTGTTAGCCCATCAAACTCCAGCCAAGGGCATTCCGTTACAGGAGTAGGCGTTGAAGCCCTGGAGTTTTCAAATCCACCTGCGTGCGCACACACACACACACTCACACACACTCAGGGCCTACTGTTGCTCTGTTTGCATTTTGCGTTGCTGTTCCGTTTAATTGTGGTTGATTGCATCAAAAAGCAAATACCGCACCGAAATACACTTTTGCAGTCAGTCCGAAAATTGAAAAATTGAGCCCCGATTATATCGATCCATCCCCGCCCGATCCGTACATATGATTATGCCAATCGATGCCGATGGGAGTTTGCGTCAATTTTCCTATTTTAGCGGACGAGCGTGTGCGCGGATGTGAATGCGGAATTTCCTCCTCGCTGTGCTGCTGCCTCTGCACACCGTCCAATGACGTAGGTCTTTTCGGGGGCTTTTTGGTTTTCTGAGAGGGAAAGAGATTCTCTGCACTTTCGCACATTTGGTTTTGTATTGATCTTGAACTATAAACGCGCGGTTGGGTCGGTGATCTTAGACTAATTTGTGTATTTTTTTCTTTTCTTTGTTTCGTTGCAGGTAAATGCTAGTGGGATGCGATAGCCAGTCATCAACACAGTTGGTTGGTAAGAGTTTGATTATATTCATTGGATTGAAAATTACTGGATTACTTATAGGAAATTAGCGTTTGTACTTATGGACCATTACAGTCGCGTCTCGTTTTTAGAGTTATGAAGGTGAATTGAATATGTGTATTCGTACGAGAAAAGTTAAGGCCCAAGCGCAATGACAGTGGCAGCGGAAAATGTCCGATCTGATTAAGGCTACTTGTCGAATTGAAAACTTGTTTGAACCAAATCAACGTCGATTAGGTAGCTTGATGACCACTAATGAGACAACTGTCAAGCTTGCCGTTTCCGTTTCGCTTCCGCCCACTTTGCTTTTGGGCCTTTAGTATATTAAGTGAGAGAAAATTGACAGAGTTTCATCTAACGTCTAACAAACCTTGATCCTATCTCGATACTGCCGAGTCTACTAGGTATCACTTTTCACGTTGTCAACTCATCGTAAATGACGTTTTGTGTTGGATTATCGAGAGTCGGATCAAAAATATGGCTGTCGGATCAAATAAGAG